GGCCGAGGCTGGCACGGAGGCTCTTGTGCCAGACAAGCACTGTCACCCCGAGGCTGCAGCCCAGGAGCCTGCTGCGTTTCCATGGAGACGGAGCATCCCGCCATGGGAATCCTGGGCCCACAGTGCAGCGTCCAGAGCCTGGGGCCGGCGGGCAGGAGGCAGGGAGCCCACAGGGACAGATGCTCCACCCCGTGCCTGGGGCGCCGCGCCTCAGCCTGGGCAGCGCGCGACCCCTCAGGAAAGCAAAGGCTGCGGGTGGGACACTGCGGTTTCAGCAGCAGCCCCGGCTGCCCCTGCCGGCTCCTGGCAAGGCCCCCCTGGGACCCTGCATTTAGGCCCCTTGCCTGTTCTCCCGCAGCCCAACCGGGCCGGCGCCTGGCAGGGGAGGGGTTTGGTTCTGGGCGGCTCCTCTCTGCCCCTGCCCAGCGTACCTGCGTGCAGGGCCACCCGAAGGGAAGAGGCCCACGCCCTGCCCTCAGGACCCCGGCCGCACTGCGAGGGCAGAAGGATCCACGTCTGCCCTGGACCAGTCTCACCCCTGCTCACTTGCCTGAGCACAGCAGGCTGCTGCCGGACTTGCCCCAAGCGCCACAGTGACGCGGGGAAGGCGCCATCAGTGCCCCTGGAGCCGGGCAGGCCCAGTGCCCTGCAGGCCCAGCACGAGGTCCCCTGCCCTCAGGACCCCGGCCGCACTGCGAGGGCAGAAGGATCCACGTCTGCCCTGGACCAGTCTCACCCCTGCTCACTTGCCTGAGCACAGCAGGCTGCTGCCGGACTTGCCCCAAGCGCCACAGTGACGCGGGGAAGGCGCCATCAGTGCCCCTGGAGCCGGGCAGGCCCAGTGCCCTGCAGGCCCAGCACGAGGTCCAGTTCAGCTCAGCAAGGCTCCTGGCTGCCTCCCACCCTCACTCTGCCCTGTCCCAGCCAGAAGCAGCCTCTGGAGCCGGCACCTGCGGGCAGGTTTTTGCGTCTTTATTTGAAATGAATGGTTCTAGAGACACAAGGTTCGTCCTAACGCCCCTTTATCACTACGACAAGACCGGTGACTGGCTCACTCTCGACATGGAGACAGGGCCCGGGCCAGGTCCCTGACAATATATACAGCTCAGCCAGCGCCGCGTCCCGCCGCCAGCCGAGCAGAAACCAAAGCACCGCGGGGAGGGTGCCAGGGGGAACAGCAGCGCTGGGGCCGGGGCTGAGGGAGCAGAGACCCCGGCCTGCCCAGCCCCGCAGCAACGAGCCGAGGCGCAGAGGTGTCTGCCTCCAGCTGATCGTGCCAGGTGAGCAGAGGGAGCGCCCCCCATTCTGCTGCAGCTGGGGGCAGAGAGGGCGGGCCCCTTGGCTCCCACGCCCGCTGCCGCGGCAGAGCTTCAGCGCCCCCCAGTGGCTGCTGTGATGCACAATGCAGGGGAAGCCAGAGCTCATGCAGAGCTGGGGAAGGGCCTCCAGGAGCCCCGAGATGAGGTGCCAAAGGCAGCACAGCCGGGCTGCTGTGGAACCCTGCTACCCACCACGCCCCCAGGCCCGGGCACTGAGCCTGGCTCCCTTCCCCCTGCTGCTTGGGCAGGGAGTTGGCCGCAGGCCCAGGGCCTCCTGGGGGGCTGCTAGGCCCAGCCTGCCCCCCACAGCGCAGAACAGTCACTTCCCAGACCCCGCGGCCCAGGGCTCACATCACGCCAGGCAGGGGAGACCCAGGCCAGCCCTGGGGAGAGGGCACAGACCCGTGGGGCTGCCGGCTGGGACAGGGACTGGGACTGGCTCTGTCTCTCCACCCCAGGAAGAACGGGGAGTGGGACCCTGCCCGGCCAGGCAGAGCCAGGGCTGGTGGAGGGAGGGGACGGCCTGTCACTAGCATCAGGCAGGGATGGTCAGATTCCTACAGGTGCCGGGCTGGTCAGGCCCCCACCCCGCAGAGCAGCCCCCAGCCCGCGCTCAGTCCAT